ATGTTTCCTCTGTCCATAGCGTTCCTTCCAGTGTCGTTTCTAAGTCACCAATTTAGTGCTACTTGGTCCCAATGGAATTTCCCATTGGGAACCTGCTAGCACTAAGTTGCTAACTGGTTAGCAAGATGTTTCCAACAAACCGGCCACAACCAGACTTGCTTGAGAATCTTCCGCCACAACAATCCCGCCCCCCCTGATAAACGACCATTCACTTTATTCACTCATGTAAAGTCGTGCACCACTTGGGAGAATTCTGAAGAATCAGTTAGAACGGCCGTTTCCCTACGACTTTATGAATTTTAATTTTGGCATTTAGGCAATATAGTCAAATTCTAAAATAAAGTGTATCTATATTTCCTGTGTTTAGCTGTTCAAAGGAGGCAGCATCTGTGTTCCCAATGAGTTTTAACGGGTTACAATTATAGATGCCCGTGGTTTTCACTGTTTTACATTAAGTTGTTGTTTTCAACTTTCTAACCCCTGTTGCTGTTTACTTTGTGGCCTTTTGCCCAGGAGGCTGTCGGTGATGGCTCCGAAGCAGCCGGCACTCTGACTGGATCCGGAGATGAGGAGAGCGGGCGGCAGCTCGGGGAGGTGGAGCTGCAGTGCGCCTTGTGTATGAAGTGGTTCACAGCGGAAACATTTGGGATTGAAACGGCGTACGTGTCTTCAGGATGTCGATTGCTGCTTTTTGGTTCCAATGCAGCCATTAACTGCTTTTCTCCCCCCTCAGGACGTGTCTCCCCTTCATGACCAATTATGTGTTTCACTGCAATGTATGCCATCACAGCGGCAACACGTACTTCCTCAGGAAACAAGCAAGTATGTGTCCTGTTGCTGAAACCTGAGGTTCAGTGTTTTTTTTTGGTTGGTTTTTTTGTTTATGTGTGTCAAGATGTTAACTGAATCACATTTTGTTCTTTCAGACCTGAAGGAAATGTGCCTCACAGCTTTGGCAAACCTCACATGGAGGTCCAGAACACAAGATGAGCATCCTAAGACCATGTTCTCCAAAGACAAGGTGGGAGTCCATCTTTTGGACGCTGGTGGAGAGATGCTTAAACATTTGATTTACAATTGAAACCACAGTTGTTGTTTTGTTATTGAAGAGGTGTTTTAAAACTGAAATTAAAATGGCAGATTTTGTCAGCCTAACGTGGGACACCAGTAATTGGGCCATCCTTGCTTCCCTTCAAGAAATGAAATGTGGGAAAATACTTTTTTTTTTTTTTTTTACATTTATCTACTGGCTGCCATGAATAACTTAACCTCTATGGATTTAATTTTGTTCCATTATTGCTGCGGCAAAGATCGCATTTTGTAAATGGAAATTTGAAAAAAAGTGCTTAACAGAAATGAAAAGTTTGATGGAGTGATTTTATTTCAAACGATTTCCACCATCAAAAATGATACTTTTAACAAAATGTACAAAAAATATTTTGAGCTTTAATTTACTGTTTTTCACAAATGTTAAACTGCAAAAACGTTCTGAAAGTAAGTTAAAATTTCTTAAAATATGTCTATTTACCCTTAATTTAGGTAGAAAATTAAGATGATCTGCAAATGCAGTGAGCATTTTTACCTTTGAAATAAGACAATTAGATATTATGCACTTGAATTAAAAGACTAGTTGTTTTTTCTTATTTTAAATGTTAATTGTCTTATTCCATTGGCAAAATGTGTCACTTAACTGCTAAGCCAAAAAAAAGCGTGCAAAATCAAGAAAAAAATCACCTACTTAGATTAACATTTTTTGTAGCATATCTTTTCAGATTCTATTCTAATTTGTCTTCTGATTTATAGATTTATGTTTTAGCCTACTGGAAAACTTTTTTTATATTTAATTTTATTTTTTCCTTTTCCACTTTGGGAAAGGCTATCTATACAAAGGACTTTATGAATATTATTTAGTATGATAATGATTATTATTATCAGCTCCATCTCCATGGCTTTGAACATCTTCCTTCTTTTACAGCCATTATCAAACAGCTATGCTCATTTTATTGGATGGAACCAAAATGTCAAAACATTTGCACTGAAATCTTTGTAGATCACCGACAGGATGCCCAATTATTTCACCAACCGAAAAAAAGGACATGCAGTCTAGCTCCTCTTATTCTGAATCTTTGAAGATCAGGTCCTATTCACTTAAGTTGGCTCTGTCAGTTCAACAAAACTACTCCAATTGCTGTTGTTATTCAAAGCAGAGTTTTAAAGTTGTAGGGAAATCATATTTAAACGTCAAATCATTCTGGCTTAAAAATGTATATAAATGTACTCTTTATCAAACAATATTGTCACAAAAGTTAGAAAATTTCAATAAAAAAAAAATCCTGTCTTAAAATATGTGTTATATATATATTTTTATATATATTTTATATATCAACGGTCATCTGCCAATCCAAATTTTTCGGTCATAGCATTCTGATTCATATGTCGCAGCTAATATACGCAACGGTTGAAATCAGAATAATTTCCTTTCCCATTGAGTTCCGTCCCAGTGTTCACAGCGATGGACGTCTGTGCCTTCAGCAGGCGTAGAGCTAACAGAACTGGCAGCGTTGCGAGGCAAGGGCTCAAACATGTACGGCTTTAACAATCTCTTTTTCAAGGTAGTCCTGGCCAAGACAGCGGCAAAAGATTACATTACAAATTAGATTACAGTTGACAATTACATCTATCTATAATTAGAAATTCATAACAGTTACAAACCATAGATCTCATTTCCAAACCTTTGAGCAATCGTTTAAAATGTCCGATTGGAATCAAATCCCTCAACTTCCAGTCTTTCTGGAGATTGTTCCATGCAAAAAAAACTCTCCTCCTCTTGCATGTTTCCTCTGTCCATAGCGTTCCTTGACAGTGTCGTTTCTAAGTCACCAATTTAGTGCCACTTGGTCCCAATGGAATTTCCCATTGGGAACCTACTAGCACTAAGTTGCTAACTGGTTAGCAGCATGCTTCAGAGACATCGGCCACAACAAGACTTGCTTGAGAATCTTCTGCCACAACAATCCCGCGCCCTTGATAAACAACCAATCACATTCACTTTATTCACTCATGTAAAGTCGTGCACCACTTGGGAGAATTCGGAAGAATCAGTTCGAAGTTGCTAACTTGTTAGCAAGATGCTTCTGACAAACCGGCCACAACCAAAAAGCTTGCGAACCTTCCGCCGCTACAATCCCGCCCTCTTGATAATCTACCAATCACATTCACTTTATTCACTCATGTAAAGTTGGAACAGCTGCTTCCCTATGACTTTAAACAAACACAGCAGGATATGAAGCCTAGCTAACCCACAGATTTTAAAGTTTTTCTTTTTATTGTTAATTATTATTTTCCTGGGTTTGCTGTACAGAAATTTCAGGCTCCATTGAAGGGTTTAAAGCTGAAATGACATCATTTAAACACACAATGATGTCAAGCTTAAACCAGTCTTTAGCTAAGAGGAAAACTAAATGTTTTCACTACTAATGAGGAGGAACAACATTTAAAGGACTTTTATGGATATGTGCTGCTTAAAATAGTCCAAAAAAGAACACAGGGTCTTCTCTTTCTAATCAGAATGTCATTTTCTTGGACAGAAATCCATTTCACAGAAACTCTTTTTCAGTAACACCCCTTTAATTCTTCCCTTTTGAAGCTGTTGTTTTAATAAAGCTCCTTCCATTTGCAGGATATCATCCCATTCATTGATAAGTACTGGGAGTGCATGACGACTCGGCAGCGACCAGGGAAGCTCACCTGGCCCAACAACATAGTGAAGACGATGGTAATGTGGCGTTCAGTCCTTCCCATTCCTGTACGGCAGCATTTAGAGAGTTAATTGGTTAAAATGACATCACTGCTGTGTTTTGCAGAGCAAAGAGAGGGACGTGTTCCTGGTGAAAGAACACCCTGACCCTGGCAGTAAGGACCTGGAGGAGGAGTACCCAAAGTTTGGCCTTTTGGATCAGGTGACTGAATAAAGCCGAATAAATGCAGCACAGCTTTTTTTTTAATTTTATTTTTTAATGCTAAATACACACTGGAAAAAATATTTAGAAATGAGTAAAATCTTCTTAAATTAAGTGTACTTACCTTTAATTTTAGTAGTTAAATGAGATAATTTGCCAATGGGATGAGTATTTTTACTCTTAAATTAGGATAATTGGATAATATGCACTTGAAATAAGACAATGCAAATGTTCATTTCTTATTTTAAATGTAAATTGACTCGTTCCATTGGTTAAATGTCTCACTTTCCTCCTCAAATCAAGAAAATATAATGTTATTTAAAGAAAAAAAAAGACTTATGTAGATTTACATTTTTTGCAGTGCAGGCTTGGTTTTAGTGACTTCAAATAAAGGTTGCCTCGTTTCTATCGTTATATTTTTTTTTGTCAGCAGAGAGCTGCCATTAGTCTCTCCCTGCTTCCTTTAAAAGCGCTGTCAAACCAGGACCAATTTAGCTATCGAAGCCTGAAATGCAAAACATCTGGCAAAAACGCTGCCTTGTTTTGTTTAAGTTATGAGCACGCTGACACAAGTCAGTATACACCAGGCACTTTGGTCGTATGCCAGCGTATGCTCATACATGGGCCATAAGTTATAGGTAAGTTATCTGATCATCTACATACGTTAAGTGTAAGTTACTCATAAGTCGTGGCATCTAGCTTGTCCAAAACTCCAACTAACATGCACATAACTTCTGCGTAACTTATCAAGATCTTATCTCCAACACATATCAACGAATCTGATGTCTGCCAGACGAGCGATGAACGTGTTTCTAACTTCCAGCTACTGTATAATGGTAAACTAGTAAACTAGCCCCACCCGCCAGAGCCCAAAATCATTTTTGCCTGTGAGTTGGTCTTGCCTTGATCAATGCCCCAGGCCCTAGAACTGGCGGGCCAATCACAAAGCAGAGATGTCCTTTGAATTTTTGGATGCAAAGCGGGCGGGTTTTGAGGCTGTGACGACGAGGCTGCGCGACGCTGGAGAAAGCACAACAAGGAAGATGACAACAACTATTTAATAGTTCTCGTTTGACTCAGCTTTGGAATCAGTTCTGGAAGGATTAGACTTTGGGTTTTTGTTGAAACGTGAGCAGGAAGAGTCTCTACGCTCTTTCGTCTTTTAAGGAGGACGTTTTCACCGTTTTACTGACAGGCTGTTTGTTTACACTCCCCCACCAGCTTTCTGTCACGTTACTACGTCACAGTCAGTTGCGCTCATTGGTCAGAGCGTTGGCCAATAGGCACAGACATGATTTGAAAGACAGCAGGTTGTTCTCATCAATAATCTTCCGATGTCTCATTTATCGGGGCCAGACTAAATCATACATTTAATCTCACATTTAGTCTGGTTTATCAGGCTAATTTAATGGCGTATTGGCAGCGTTTTGGTATTAAGGGGGTTCACAGGAGAAAACAATCAGTTATCCCCCAGACTTCATCCCCATCATAGGGTGAGGGAGAATGTGAGTGTGATGGATCCTCCCTGCAATCACACCAACCACCTACAAACCTAACAGACATGACGCTGAATCTGCTGCCACTGCAAACCCTTCATTCTCTCTTTTTCTTGTTTTGTTTTTTTGGCGGGCAGCAAACAGCAGCTAGGTGAATACCGCGATCAAAGAAATATTTTTATGCGGACTAGGCGCCTCTGGGTGCATTGCTGTCCCCCTCAGGACACTGGCTTTTGCATCATTTCATGGCATTACGCAGCCGTGCGTTATGCAGAAGTTAGGCTGTCATTGGACATCAGTTCTAGACTCGTTATGAATAATCTATGTATACGCCCAAAACTGAAAAAATACATAGAAAGTTCAGCATA